GAGGGCGCTGCTGAAGACCGGCCTACTAAGGTTTCTGAGGGGCGAGGGCGGGGGGACTCCTGGAGGGGCAGACTTGGGCCGGGGGGCATAGAGCCCTGCCCGCCCCCACTCTTGCAGCACTTAGATGAGTGCAGGAAAAGCCACTGCCCCCCGCTAACTCCCCCACCCACCACCCACCCCGCCCTCACTTCGCCTCACCCCTGCTGCAGCAGCGCGGTCCCCCCTCCCTGGGAGCACTTAGCCAGCTAATGGGCCTCGCGCCTGCAGGCGCCCCTCCCCCGTCCCTAGCCCGGGGAGGCCGGGCGCCTGCGCCTCCTTTGAGGACCCAAGCATCCTGCCTTTCCAGAGCGAGCCCTGGAACAGCCCCCTTCTTGTTCCGCAGACCCCCGTGACCCAACCTGGAGCCTGTCCCTGTGGGGTTCACGACTGAAAACTGCAAAGGGGACATCTGGTCGTTTGCCCAGAGGGGTCCAAATCCTCCTGGGCATCCCTAACAAGGGGGGTTGAGGAGGGGCTCTGCAAGGCCTGGCCCACAGCAGGTGCCCTGAAATCTGCTGTCTTCCAGGGATGGGAGGGGGGAGGCGCATGGGCACTGGGATGGGTGGGGACTGCGGCCCCTCCCGCAGGGCTTGGCTGGGGGGGCTCCTGCCTGGGGGCCCCTGTGGGAGCCCCCCCAATACAGAGGCAGTAGCAGCAGCAGGTTTAAAGTAGAACTCATCCAGAGGGGCCAGCCAAGTCACCTAGAAACCCAGAAAGAGATGGAGCTGGTTCTGGGGGAGGAGGGGTCAGCTGAGGAGGCGCGGGCACTGCAGGCCCCTTTGCCCCGGGCTCTCAGACCCCCAAGGGGAGCCCTGCGTAGCACTGGCCGTCCTCCAGATCCCCACCATGTTGGACACCAACTCTAACATAACGAAGCTACTTGCGTTTTGCTAAGGCCCTGCGGGATGTGATTATTATCTTCACTTGGGGCCCAGAGAGGGGAAGGGACTTTCCCAAGGCCACACAGCTTTGTAGGAGGATTTCAGCCCTCTGACTTGAAGGCTGGCTCACATCCTGTCTCCACTCCTTGCCCTTGAGGAGACAAAAAAAGGGGGACAGGACTTGTGATCCTGTCTCACCAGAGCAGCAGAGCCATCCCCCTGAGAGACCCAGGGACCACCAGGTCTTACTGGGCAGAGCCATGCAGGGTGGAGACTGGCCTCTGCTCCCGCAGGCCTGGGTTCAAGTCTACCAGCAGACCTAGTCTCTCTGGCCTCAGTCACCTTGTCTAGAAACTGGAGGTTCTCGGAGGATGAAATAAGCAAATGGATATGAGATGTCCCATGGCTGCAGGCAGCTGGACATCTAAGGGATGGCTAGCAGGCTGTGGGGGCATCAGGGAGGAAGGAGGAAAGGGCACGGATTGGCTCTGGGGCTGGGGGCCTGGCAGCCAGTGCCAGGGCTAGCAGGGCCTGGAGCCAGGGCGTTGGGGTCCAAGCTGTGGGCCTTGGGCCTCGGACGGGGGTACTTCCTAGAAGCGCTGAGCAGCAGCTCCTTGTAAAACAGGATGGGAGCCTGTTTCCTGGGCCTGAGCCTCCCCCCTGCTCCCCTCCACCCCCATGTCTCCTGAGGCCAGGGCAGCCCCCATTAGAGGGGCTCCTTCCTCCTTAGCCACTTTCTCCCATCCTTGGTAATGTTAATAGGGTTTCTCGGCAAGCAGTAATGGTGGAAGGAAGGCAGCTTTTCCGGCCTCTACCCTCGATTAAGGGAGCGGTCGCAGCCCACAGGACCCTCCCCAGGGCCTCTGCTTCAAGGAGGCGCTGAAAGCAGCCTCAGCTGCACTCTAGTGGAGAGGGGCCGGGACCCCAGAAGGGGTGGGGCTGAGGAGGCCACAGCCTGAGGCTGGATGGATGAGGAGCAGCCATTGCCGCCGCAGGCTTCAGTCCCAGGAGGGTTCCGGCAGGAGAGCAAGGGCTGGGATGTGGGCCCCGGAGCACTGAGCTCTCAGACCCCAACCACCAGAGGTCCGTAGGATCAGCCCCTTGAAGAGGCTCAGGGCAGGTAAGTGATTGCCCACCACAGCTTCTTAGCCTGCTGGGCAGAGCCAGGATTTGAACCCCGTTCTTCCACTCCAAGCTTCTGTGCAGGGCAGCCAGCCTCCAAGAAGGCTGCAGGCCATCATGGCCATCTGCACTAACTGTTCTGGGGTGGGGGTGGGGGGTGGCCGTGGGAAGGGACTGGATGGACAAGGGAGCCGGCCCCCGGAATTTGGAGTGCCCTCGGAGTGGCGTAGAAGGTGGAGAGAGGGCAAGTCAGGAAGAGCATCCCCAGCTCCTCCCTGCCCTGCCCAGAGAACCCCCAGGGGGTACCCTGAAATCTGGACATGACAGAAGGCCTTCATACTGGGCTGAGGGGAGAAGGGACAGGAAGGTCATCGCTCAGGGTCACAGCATCTGGGGGGCAGAGCTGGGGCTGTCACCCAGGTCTTCATGGCCTGTAGGCTCCTCCCACAGCAAGCTATGGTATATCCCCCCTCTTAACTATGAGTGCCCCCAAGGCCCGAATCGATGCTTGGGTTCAGAAAGCGCAGACTGCCTTGTGAGGTGAGGTGGAGTGTGGTGGGGAATTTGGACTTGGGTAAATTGCTCCTTCCATCAGGCCAGGCTCAGAGCCAGAGGCCAGGCTGGGAATGGGGCTCCCAGGGGAAAGGGTGGCTCCTGCCTAATCTGTAAGAGCAAGGGTCAGCCCTTTCCTGGCCCCCTAGGCTGGCTGAAGGGAGGCTAAGGCCAGAAGGAGGGCTGGGGAGGGAAGAGGCGTCAGCCTGCTCTACCCACACTGGACAGAGCCTGCCCACCACTCAGCCCCTCAACGAGAAGCCCACCTCACCCCCCAACACACACATATGATTCCCAGCCTCTGCCTTCTTGTTGTCTCTTCTCCCCAACTACAGGGTAAGCCTCAAGTCCTAGGTTTGAGTTTGGTTCCAGCACCAGCTGTGTGACCCTGGGCCAGTCTCAACCCCTCTCTGAATCTGCCCGCTGCAGAGGGCTTCTCTGGCCTCCAAAGAGCGGGTGTCTGTGAGGGGCTGAGACAGAAACACTGCCTCTCAGACCCTGAGACTCTGCTTGGGACCTCAGGGGGTGAGCTTGCCATCTGCAGAAGCATCCCAGAGGAGCTGCACAACCTTGTCGGGTGGTATCTAAGGGGAGGAGGGGGGTTGAGTAGAGACTTTGTGTTGTGGGGTTTGAGCACACAGCCTGGGTTCATGTGATTTAATTAACAGTGCAGTCATAGAACCTTCCATGCATTTTCCTGTTTAATCTTCCCCACAACCTTCTGAGGAAATGGAAGCACAGAGAAAGCCATTCATTCTTCCATTCAGTCATTCGTTCGACCACCTACTATGAGTCTGACATAGGTGCTGTGAATTCAGTAAGAATCAGGTAATTTGCCCAATACACGTGGGTTTGAACCCGAGCAGGCCGACTCAGCCCTGGGCATCAGCAGTGAACAAGGGCTGGACAGGTCCCGGCCCCGTGGAGCTCACAGTCTGGAAGAGGGAGACAGATAATGAACAAGTGAATGGGAGAGACGATTGAAAGAGACAGAAAATCAGACGGGGTGGGTGCAGGAACAACATAGACCCGGTCCGCTTAAGAGCCGTGGGCCAGGTATGGCGCCTGTGAGATCTGCAGGACAGAGGGTGGCGCAGGGCGAGGACCTGCAGGAGAGCTGAGCGCGGTGCTGTCACCAGCTGGAACCAACTCGAGAAACGCTTATTATGGGTCAGCTGTTATTATTATCTTTATTATCATGAGTACTGGCTCCCCCACTTCCTAGCTCTTTACGCCTGAGTTTCCTCGTTTGTACACGCAGAGGTTGCAGGGTGCAGAGGGCCGCGTCCTGTCGAGGCCAGCCCTAGGAGGGTGCCCCAAACAAGTTCTGCGATCCCGGGACAGGGCTCCGCTGCGGGGGAGGGGTGGCCATGCGGGGCCGGACCCAGCGAACTACATTTCCCATAATTCCGTCCCCCATCGCCATCTTGGCCGGTGGGCGGTGGCTGCCTGGGATCTGGCCCTTCAGGCCGCCCGGCCGGCTCCGCTCACCCCCGAACCCGGCTTTCACCGTGTGGGGGCGCGGGACCCCACCGAGTAGGGGTCCTGGGGATCTGGGCAGCTCCTGCCCACCTTCTCCACTCCTGCACTCCCGGGAGCCCGGTCCACGTGTCGGTCCACACAGAGAAGACTGCTCGCCCCCCGCTGGCCAAGGGTCAGAGGACCCAGACATCGGGGGCTCTCACGTTTCCTCCCTGCACCCCCGCCCTGCACGCAGTGCCCACTCCCCTCCATTCCCAGACGGCCCCTGTTTTTGCTTCAATGAGGACAGAACACTAGGGTCCCGGTGGGAGTGCAAATGCTGGTTCTGGGCGCTTAGAACCCTTGGGTTTGGGGCAGGAAGGTTAAAAAGGATAGCGGACATCCAGGCCAAAACCCCTGCCGCCTAGACCCTCCCCTAGCCCCCGCCCGGGGGCGGGGTAGGGTGAGGGGGGCCTGTAGCGGGACTGGCCCTTTAAGGGGGTGTGGTCGGGGGCGGGGGAAGCGAGCGAGACAGAGAAAGCGGCTTCAGCGGCGGCGGCGGCGGCGGCTCGGGCGGCGGCCGCGGGGG